ACCCGGCCCACTGCCCCGAGGACCGGCGAACGCGCGTGCCCGCACGCGGCCGCCCACAAATGTGTGCGTGTGTGCGGATGTGTAAGCACACAGTGGCCCTTTTTCAGCTCGCTCCCAGCCGGAGGTGGCCCAACGGCGACCTCTTCAACCCTCGTCCACTGGCCCGCCCTGGACGATTGTCGCATCGCCCCTCCCCGCCCCTGCTGCACCCCCCCATCTGAGTCGAGTATGCCTCTTCGTGCCTCCCACTGCCTGCCGCCCGTGGCGTGCTTGCGCTTGCCGCGCGACATGCCCTTGCCATCCCCTCGCGTAGTCCTCTGACAGTCATCTCCCCTGCTTTGTGTGTGTGTGTGTGTGTCTGTGTGTGTGTGTGTGTGTGTGTGTGTGTGTGTGCGCGCGCGCACGCGTCCGTCCGTCCGTCCGTCCGTCCGTCCGCCCGCTCACTCCCAGTCTCCACTAGATCCTCTCGGCACCCCCCACCCCCACAGGCACCATGTTCCTTTCCAACCGGCCCACCCCTCCCCCGGCCTTCGCCCCCCAGCTGAACCTCTCCGGCATGACCTTCAGCCATGCTTCCCACTCGGCGGCCTTCTCTGCCAACTACTCCGTGCGCGCATGTCCGACCGCCTGATTGTTGCGCGACCGTCAGCGGCTCACCGTCACCGGCCTGGCGCCCGGCTCGGCCCACTTTGTCACTGACAACCGTACCCCCTCTCCCCCCGCTCCTCCCTGCGCAGAATACTTCGGACATGTCGGCCCCCGCCAAGGGCGGCAAGAGCCCCTTCGTGTCGATTCTGGCCGGTGCCATCTCCGGCGGTATCGAGATCTGCCTCACCTACCCCACCGAGTACGTCAAGACCCAGCTGCAGCTGGGCAACCGCTACTCCGGGCCGATGGACTGTGTCCGGAGCACCGTGCAGCAGTACGGCGTCGGTGGCCTCTATCGCGGTCTGTCCTCCCTGCTGGTGGGGTCCATCCCCAAGGCCGCGGTGCGGTTCCTCGGTTTCGAGGAGTTCAAGAAGCTCCTCATGGACGAGGACGGCCGCATGACCCCCGGGCGCAACTTCATGGCCGGTCTCGGTGCCGGTGTCACTGAGGCCCTGCTGGTTGTGTGCCCGATGGAGACCATCAAGGTCCGCCTGATCCACGACCAGACCCAGCCCAACCCCCAGTACCGCGGCCTGGCGCACGCCACCCGGTCCATCGTCGCGGCCGAGGGCCTGGCCGGCATTTACCGCGGCCTGGCCCCGACCATCGTCAAGCAGGGCTCCAACCAGGCCATCCGCTTCCTGGTGTACAACGAGATGAAGAAGCTCCTGTCCACCGGCGACCCGGATGCCGTGCAGCCGGTCCATGTGTCCATGATCTCCGGTGCCGTGGCCGGTGGTATGTCCGTGCTCGGTAACAACCCCATCGACGCGGTCAAGAGCCGCATGCAGGGCATCGGTGCCAAGGACCTGTACAAGAACTCCTGGGACTGCGCCAAGCACATTTACCGCGAGGCCGGTGTGCGTGGCTTCTACAAGGGCTGCACCCCGCGTATGGCCCGTGTCGTCGGTGATGTGGCCATCGTCATGACCCTCTACGAGCAGATTGCTGCCCAGCTGGAGAAGGTCTTCTAAGAGGCTCGCGCGCGTCCCTGCTTGCCCCCCCCCTCTCCCCCTCTGTGTGCACCTCCCCCCCCCCCACCATCCCCTCCCAGGACGAGGGTGGCGAGGGGGGAACGCCGGCGGCTCGAGCAGCATCTCCCCTCCGAGAGGCACATCCTCCTCCTCTCCTGGCCATGTGCCTATGCATTTGCGATTTGCTCTCCCCCCCCCTCTCTCTCTCTCTCTCTCTCTCTCCCGCCGCCCCGCGTTCCCCCCTGGCCCTCCGGCTGTGTGTGTGTGTGTGTGTGTGTGTGTGTGCGCGCCCGATGGCCCCCCCCCTTCCCTCTCCTCCCGACGGCGACGTTCTGGGGGGGATGATGCCGGTGGCGTGTGTGTGTGTTCCCCTAGACCCAGGGCACACCTTCCCCCCTGCCCCCCTCCCTCACGTCCGCTTCCGTTGCCTCTTTCCATGTGTCTGCTGTGCAGGCATGTATCCATGCGCACTTGCAGCGCGCACTCTCCACCCCCCCCCCCCACCTCTGTATACTTAGTGAAGGATCTTGCCTCCTCCCCCTCCCCCTCCGAGTGGGCCTCCACCCCTCTTCCCCCACCCCCCATGTATCCAATATGATAGAACGGGCAGACGGGATCCACTGGCTACAGTTGCAATAGCCTCCAGAGAGACCTTCCCCTTCTCCATCTCCCAGTCGCGTGCATTTGCCTCTTGCTCATTCGGATGTGTGCGGGTCTATTCTATGTGATTTTTTGTTGGGCCCCCTCCCGCGCCCCCCCCGCTCCCTGCGGAGGAGGGGAAGGGAGAGGAGAAGGCAGGCAGGGGAGGAGCGACCATGACTTACATAAGCGGAGGCTGGCGTCCGATCACTTCTTGCCACGCTTGCCATGGCCACCGCGATGGTGCCCGGTCGGGGCGGTGTGTGTCGCGGCGCCCGGCCCGTCGGTCACCGGCTCGGCCAGCAGCTTGCCCAGGGCCTCGACAAAGGCCTCCAGCTCGGACTCCTCCGGCGAGCCGGAGGCCTTCCAACGGACGCGGCCCTGCTGGTCGACGATGGCCAGATGGCCAGAGTAGATGTCTTCGAAGCCATTCGGCCGGCGGATCTCGGCGCTTGGGCCGATACGCAGAACGACATCCGACTGGCGGGCAGGGGTGTTGGATCATGTCAGCGGCACTGGACGCCGGACGGCGGACGGCCGGGCGATGTGGGTATGTGCGTGTGGGTATGCCACGGGGATGGGTTGGATCATGTCAGCGGCACTGGACGCCGGACGGCGGACGGCCGGGCGATGTGGGTATGTGCGTGTGGGTATGCCACGGGGATGGAAAACGCACATGGTCGTCAAAGACACCGGGCTGCATCAGCAAGTTCTTCATGATCGAGCCAAGGATCATACGGTAGACCGAGCGCTCGAGGTATTGGATCTGCGGAGGTGCGGGAGGGAAGGGGGAGAGGGGAACATGGCCACGTAGGACCCCATGTTGGTGGGTCAGCGGCCGCATGTGCGTGTGCGCGCGCGCGCGCGTGTGTGTGTGTGTGGGTGGGTGTAGGTAATTGCTGGCGAATGGCGGCGCAAAAGCGATGAGATCGGAAGAGCGTCGTGGGGGAGAGGGGAACATGGCCACGTAGGACCCCATGTTGGTGGGTCAGCGGCCGCATGTGCGTGTGCGCGCGCGCGCGCGTGTGTGTGTGTGTGGGTGGGTGTAGGTAATTGCTGGCGAATGGCGGCGCAAAAGCGATGCGGCGGGGCATAGAGGCTGGAGCCCGCCCGGGCAGCTCGACGAGGCACGTACATTCACAAGGCCAATGGTCGTCCCGAGCTGCGGGGCAAACATCATCTTCAAAACACGATAGTAGAGCTCCAGATGCTCCAGGGCATTGTTGCAGGTAGACACCATGACCACGGAGAAGCGGTGCTTGCGCAGCAGATGCTGCGACAGGGGCACGGCGTCGGGGGTCTTGCCGTCCCATGCGCGGGCCACCTCGGCGCCAGCGGCCTTGCGCGCGGCCTCGGCCGCCTGATCCACGGCCTCGGGGGTGGCATCCTCCGGCAAGGCCGCCAGTGCCTCGGTCACTCGAGCGGACAGCGAACGGGTGCCCGGTGGCACCGGCAGGGGGATGACCATCGGGTCGGCCAGGGTGATGGCCTGGGCCAGGGGAATGACATCGCCCGTGGCCAGGGCCGAATCCTTGGCGCCGCCAGTGATGACGCCTGTACGGATGTCAGCAAGTCAATGGGGACGGGCGCAGCTGGCGAATAGTCAAGGGGGCGCGCTGGCGAGGGGGAGAGAAAAATGTCGAAAGTGCCAATCTGGCAGGAAGTGAGGCAGGCATCACGCACGCATCATGTTCTTGTTCTGCCGACGAAGCTCGTACATGCTGCCTCACGCGGGAGAGAGGGGAAAGTTAGTCCGGCGGGCCCCTCACCAAGAGGCGGGTGTCGGTGCGCGATGTCCAGGCCCCAGGGCCAGACGCACCGCATGCGGTTGCCTTCCACGGCACGCGGCATGATCTTGGTGTTGTTTTCCTTCAGCCACTGGGTCACAGCAGCCACATTGGATTGGGGAGCCTCCTCGCCGGCTGCAATGGCTTGGCGCCGGCGCTCGCGTGCGGCCGCCGTCAACGGGAACTCCGGAATGGGTTCCGTGCTGACCGGCGGCGGGGTGGGCTTGGAGGGGATCCACAACTTGACAAAGTACGACAGCCGGTCGAACCACCGCCGCTGAGTGGGGCCCAGCTGCCCGATGGCCTGGTCCACCAGCGCCTGGCGCTGCTCGGGGGTCAGGTCCTCGTGCAGGTGGGGGAGGATCTCCTGCGGCCGGTCGGCGGCCGTATCGGAACCCTTGGTGGAGGTGCCCGCGATGGCGCTGGAGGCGCTGGAGGCGGTGGTCTCGTCCACAGCAGCAGCGGTTACAGCGGGAGCCGAGTCAGCAGTGCCGGCGGCGGAGACCTGATCCGGGGACTTGGGGCCCGGCGTGGCGCCAGGAACGGGGGTCCCAGCCGGGGCAGAGGCGAAGAGCCGCACAAAGGCCGGTGAGGTGGCCGGAAGCCGGCCAACGCAGCCGGCGCGCAACCGCAAGTGCGTGAGCATCGCCAGGGAGGGGTGAGCGCTTGGGTCGAAAGGGAGAGAGAGGGGGGGGGGGGAGGGGTGGGATGACGGCGCGGGGTGGAAATGTACCCTTACGGTGGTGGCCGGATCGCGCAATTTGAACGTGGGTAGGAGGCTCTCTCCTCCATGAGGGGCATGGGATGCGAGGGGGAGAGCATTGGTGGGGCCGTGGGCCAGGCCAGGTGCCACCGCAAGAGCTTGTCACAAATCATCGAGAGAGCACAAGGGTTGACAAATCAGAGTCTTGGCGGTTTCGGTTAACCCGAGTTACGGGCCCCGGGGTGTGTGGTAAACTATTCCCCGCGGCGGGGCGGCTCCCAGGGTGTTTCAGCGGGGGGGGCAGCAGGGCACAGGACTTTGATGGCGGAGGGACGCGAGGGGGCACGCACGCGTTCCGACGAGGGGCACCACCTTGCGACACCGGTGCTTGCCGGAGGCGTGTGTGTGTGTGTGTGTAAACAATATCAAATTTTTTTGTGTGTCGTAGCCTATGTCTGGGATTGATCCATGCACGTCCCGGCGATGCAGGTGGTGGTGGTGGCAGGGTGAAAGGGGAGACTTCGCAGACGGGGATGGCCCCTCTTGTGGCGAATGTCCACCCGTCTTCAGCACCCACAAGTGGAAAGCTACTGTGTGTCCATGATACGCATCTAGGGAGCGATGTGTGGGGCCGGGGAGGGCCACGGCGCATCGAGCAGAATAGAATAAAATAAAGGGCGAATTTGCAATCTCGGCCACCTCTCCCCGCCCGCCTGTACCCGATATGCCCCCCGAGGGAATATCGAATCAACTCTCGCATCTCAGTGTATTTTTTTTGGCACATGGCAGGCTCTAGTATGTCTGCGCCGCAGGGGTATGGATGGATGAATGTGGCTCCGCTTCCCTCGACACAGAGTCACCAGGATGGTTGACTGTCACTGCGGCCCGGGGGAAGCAGAGAGGGAGAGAGAGAAGCACGGGACAACGGCCGGCTCGTCGCGCCGGCCGAGAGTCGCCCCGTTCTTCCTCCTGCCCAAGGGGGAAGGCAGATCGGGTCATCCATGGCACACGGTCATCGGCGAGGGAGAGAAAAAAGGGGCACAATCCTCCCCCATCCTTGACAAGGTGGCGGGAGTGCGTTGCCCGCCACTACTCTGCTGGACATATTTCGGGCGAGGCAGGCGCATGTACAACTGTGGCCACCGGTACGGGACCAGATGCGAGGAGGGTAGAAGGAGAAAGGGGAAAACAAAGAAAAAGGAGGCACGCTTGGGTGCACATGCGTCGGTGTGCCGGGGGGATATGACGGGGCGTCGTAATCATCTCCGCTACATATGCTCAGCAGCATGCCGGGCAAGTGCAATGATTCCCAAGCTGGACGCGGCGGCGATGGGTCTTTCGCCAACACAAGCACGGCGCATGCCCCGCCCCCCACGTGTAGAGGAGAAGGCAGCGCACGCACACGCGCACACGCGCACACGCGCACACAGACATGCAGGCACATGCATGTGCGCACATGCGCGCCTGGAAGGGCCGAGTCCACGCATGGTTGTCCTCCGCACGGGCGAGAGTTTGCGTGTGCTCGCACATGCGCCAGCACACACAGGAGCACACCCAGGCGGGTCTCAGGCCACGGGTACCAGAAAAGATGATGTCCTGCCCAGCGAGGCAGAGGGAGTGATTTACAAAAGGCAGATATGTATGCACACGCACACACGCGCACACACGCGCACACACAGACAAAGACACGGTGGAGGGCGCGTCAAGAGCGTGTTGCGACGGGAACGCGGGCGCAGATGCGGGCAAGTCGGCGGCCGCACTAGCCAGAACGCTCGAACTCCGCCATCAGATAATCAATCTCCTCCTTCTGGTATGCGACGGCCGGCGAGGAGCCGAGGTTGGTGTCCGTGCTGGCGGACTTGAGCGATTCGTCCAGGAGCTGCGCCACGGTCGAGCTGGAAATGGCGGTCGGAGAGGAGTTGCTCATGCGCTGAGTCCTCGAGCGAGTCTTCACCTGGATGGGGACCAGACTGTCGAGGTTGCCACTGACCAGGAGCCCCTGGTGGCTGTAGTGCTCGATCAAATAGCGCCAAATGTGGTTCTGCCATGCGAACAGGGGAGGAAAAGAAGGAGGGAGAAGGGGGAAGGAGAAAGTCAGTGGCCGTGCCTCGCCCGCGGAAATGCCCCTCGCCCCTCCCAGCAGGCGGGGAAATGGGTATACACATATGTGCATGCCCCCCCCCCCCCCCCTAGATGGCATGTTGACCGTTGTCAGATGTGCGCACCCGACGCAAGAGGTTGGTGTTGCAAATGATGATGAGACCACAGCGGGCGCGGGTGATGGACACATTCAACCGGCGGGTGTCGGCCAGGAAACCCACGGTCCGTGTGCGCGTGGTCGACAGGATGATGTACTCCCGTTCGGACCCTTGGAAAGAGTCGACACTGGCCACATCCACCTTGTTGTACACCTCCTCCGGGAAGGCACCAAAGGTGGCCAGCACATAGCGAATGTGCCGGCACTGGCCGTCGTACGGGGAAATGACACCGATCTGCTCCGGCAGGATCCCCTGGTCCAGGAGCCGGTTCAGCACCAGCAACACCTGGCGCGCCTCCGAGTCATTGATGTACGACTGGCCCGAGGGGGACAGATCCTCGGTGCCATTGTCCGAGTACATCATCATCGGCTTGTCCGGATTCGGCCAGGGGAACTTGACATCCGGGCGATTGCGCTGGAGTTCATTGACTCCGTTCGATAGGGACCCCTCATAGAAGCTGGCCGAAGGGAAGTCCGACAGGCAGGGATGCATGCGGTATTGGGTGTTCAATCGCAGGGGCTTGCTGCCATGCAGCACCAGCCGCTCGAAGAGCGACCGATTCAGCCCGGCATTCATGGTCCTGGTGCTCATGACCACCGGGCCCAGCTGGCAATGATCACCCACCAGGATGACCATCATCGGATTGTGCATCAAAGCCACCAGGATTTCGGGATCCGTGGACTGGGTGGCCTCGTCGACGATCAGCACATCGAACTGCCGGTCGATGTTGGCAGACGAGGAGAGGGTCGCCGCCACGATTTTGGCTTCATTAACCAGGCGATGGCGCATTCGGACGATGAATTCCCGATCGGCATTGTTGTTACGCTCATCGGTCAGGTGCGAGTTGTTGCGTCGCTGCATGATAATCTCCCTGGCCCGGGGGGACCGCTTCATGGCCTTCTCCAGGAAGGTCAGATGCTTGTTGGGGGACGTGATGAACTCGCGCGACTCGCTTTCCATCCACAGGACGTCCAGCCCGGTGGCGGCCACCTGGCCACAAATGTTGGACACCGCCACGTTGGACGGGGCCGACAGGAGAATGCTCAGCCCTTGGGACTTGAGGAAGTACACCAAATTGGCGATGGTGGTGGTTTTACCGGTACCCGGGGGTCCTTGAATCAGGCTGAAAGGCTGAGACACGGTACTCATCATGACCTGGCGCTGGGAGTGATTGGGCTTGTTGATGTTCGGGGCGCAGAAGTCCGCCGGCATGTTGAAGGGCCGGAAGCCGACCGGGAGCTCCCCGTCGACATCGATCCCCAGCAGGCACTTGACAATGACAGGGTCAATGGCCTTGGTGCTGGGGAATGCCTTGAGAGCCTTGAGAATACGCAGGAAGTGGATGGGATTCTCACTGAGTTTCACGGTGAAGCCGGATTCCCTCTTGAAGAGGGGCCGATGTTCGGGGGTCACCATCTGCAGAGACAGCTTGATCTTCTGGTCAAGATCTGCAGCGTGGAGGCGTGTGTGTGTGTGTGTGTGAGATAAGAAAAGAGAGGCAATAAGAAGGAGTGTGAGCGTGTGACTGTGTGCAGGTGGATGTACGCAAGCACACCCACACACCCACCCACGCACATGCACACGGAAAAAAGCATGAGCGAGCGGCAAGCTGCCGATGAAGAGGAGGAGGAGGAGGAGGAGGGCACGAGAGACACGGCACAAGCGGTACGCACGGTGGGAAATGTGAATGATCGTGGCCGAAAGGACAAGATCACCACAATCCGGATGGGAGATGGAAAGGAAACAGCCACTCGAAACGCGGAGGTCTGCGCACAAGGGAGAGGAAGCCACATGTTCGAGTTAGAGCGGGCCGACGGACAGGCGGGACAGGGGGTGTACATGGCGGCATTGTGGCCACAGCCCCCCAGGGGTCATGGGTACGTACGACTGGCCGAGGTAAGGAAGATGTAGCTGTCTCCCTCGGGTTGGAGCGTAGCCGAGACATTGGTCTCGAACTCGGTGGCCGACAGCATGACCGAGTGGGCCTGCTCCAATTCGACTAATGGGACAAAAATGTCCCGGTAGTGCTCGGCCGACTCGAAACTGCGGGAGCCACCAGGGTCGCGAAGGCGGGCCGGGAAGGACGAGGAGAAGACAGGGCGGAGGTGAGGAGGCAGCCGGCGTGTCGATCAGGGGGAGGGGGGGGGGGGGGGGGAGGACTTCATGGCGAGGGGGGCACCTGGACGCACACTTCAGGCACTGGGGCGAGCTTTTCGTCGGAATTGAGCGAGTTGACCAGAGCAATCGACTGGCTCGAAAGGTGATCCGTGTTGAAGGAGTTGTTCAGCTGGTTCACCTGCGCCAACTTCGGCAGGGTGAGCTCCGGGCGTTCCTGCACATGCAGCGACATGTGGGAGGTCAGTTGGGGAGCTGGGCAGGTTATGGAGAGACGCATGAGGGGCACCAGGAGGGGGCTGGGAGAGGGGGGAGGGGGGCAAACGCACCGAAGGCTTGGGGCTGTTGATGAGCCACGAGCGAAAGATCGAGTCGTGCACAACCGGCTCCCAGCTGGTGCGGTCGAAGTTCTGATCCACCTTGTTTTGGCACCGGTATCGGCACAGGAGCTTCATGGAGGTGTGATCGGTGGACAGGACGTAGCCTATGAGGAAGGCATTGGAGGCGCCACAGTCATAGCACTCGATCAGACAATCGCCGAGGCTATTTTCCGGGTGCAGACGGACGGTCTTGTGCTGCACGGGATTGCGCATGCATGTTAGTCGGGCGAGGCGGAGAGGAGAGAAAGAGAGAGAGAGAGGGGAAAAAAAAGAAGAGAGGGCACAATCCAGGTGTCATGGCACCGCCCCGAGGGGGAAACGCACGCGCGACAGGACCATGTGTGAAATGATGTGGCTCGGGTGGTTGGTTGAGAGGCGCATGTTGCAGAACCAGCGCGAGCAGTCCTCGCACTTGGCCATGCACATGGGATCGTGGTTTTCACAGAATGAGCAAGCCCAAGCAGGCAGTTGTTTGGCCTCGTCCGGGGTGTCCTCTATCGTCTCGATGGAGTGGTCGTAGTCGGCCAGCGACATCTCGTCGAAGTCGGCCGACAGGTAGTCGATGGCGGCATTGGTCATGGTTAGGGGAGCCAGGAGCGCGACCTTTCCCGGGAGGGGCCAGGGAATACAGAGCGGGAGGCAGGGAGGAGGAGGGGGGGGGGCGTGGGCAGGGCGATCGACTTCGAGGGGGCGCTGCCGGCAGGGGAGGGATGGAGGGAGGGGGGGAGGGGAAGGAAAAGGGGGGAGGGGGAGAGGTGGGGAGGGGGTGGATGCTATTCGCCGGGATCTGTGTCGCGCTCGCGAGACTGTCTGATAAATGCGGAATAGCGTCGGTGTTTGTTGCCCGGGGCGAACCACCGGGGCGGGGGGACCGGGGCGGCCTGCTGGCGAGCAAAATTACCACAAGGGCTGGAGTGGGGATGCGTCACGGGCGTCCCGCCACGCCTTCGACCACCCGCAACGGTCAAGCGTGGTGCTGGCCGGACACGGACACGCGCGCTTGCCGGTGCGCGCGCGCGCGCGCGCGCGCATGAGGGGGCAGCGAGCAGCAGCCAGTGCACATTCCCCGGTGATCTTGTCCACGCTGGCAGGCCCGATGGCTGGGTCTGACTGCCAACCGTCGCCCCGACCAACCAACCGGCGCGGGATCCCAGTCGTTCCTGGTGCGCGCCCGTCCTCCCAAGCTCCGTCCGTCATCGTGAGTCCCTCTTGCCGCCTGGGTTCCTTTTGCTGGAGAGCGGGAGGGGGCGGGCAAAAGTGCGCCCCGCGCTGCTGCATGCTCTCTCTCTCTCTCTCTCTCCGCCTCTCGCCCTATGTCTCTCAAGAATAAATAAAAAAGCTGCAATGCTGGGGGAAAGCAGGGGGGGGGGGGGGGGAGGGCGACCCGGCGCATGCGCACGTATGCTATACCCACGCGTGTATGGTGGTCCGCCTGTGTGCCCGGCCGCCCCCCGCACGACCCCTCGCTGAGCAGCCAGTCCCGAAAAGCAAAAGGAGGACCCCCCACCCTGGCGTGGCTGCGGGCGCGGTTCTTGGGCCCACATTCGCGCGCCGCCCTGGCGCGTACTACGCCCGCACCTCCGGCCTTTCGGTTAATATACCCCCCCCCAAGTATCGTTCCGCCCCCTGCGCCGGCACACGACCGAAGTCTTCTGCGTTCGTGCTCCTCCTTCCGGGAGGTTGCCGGTCCCATGCCGTGGCGTAGGATGGCATCCGTGGAAGAGATGCCAACGGAGTTGCCTCTCCAGCCGGAAGGCCCTGCCTCGTCACGGCTGGCACTAGGACACCTAGCCTGCACGAGGTATCGCCCGCACAAGGTGTTGCCTGCCCTATCTCCTCTCTCTCTCTCTCTCTCTCTCTCTCTCTCTCTCTCTCTCTCTCTCTCTCCCCCCCCCCCATTGTATGTCTGTCTTTTTCCTTCTTTCTATCAACCTGCCTCCCTCGCCCGCTTCCTCTCATTCCTCCTACCCTGTGACGGATGCCTGTTCTGGCCTGCGGCCACTTCCCGGCCCGTCGGCAGGAGCATGCACGTGCGCTCAGCTCCAGCCATGGCAAAGGGGCCCGGGTGAAGGCACACAGCATGCCCTGGGGGTGTGTAAGTACTGGCCCCGCAATGCGGCCTTTCATCAGACCCAGACACACGTTTGGGGAATCTCGTTTGGTGTATTAGACAGCGCGCGTGTGTCCTTTCATCGGGGCAGGTGGGCCACACGCGCACGGGCATACACGCACGCACGCACATACACACACATACACACACGGCCACATGGTGAAACATACACACGTGTCCGGGATGCTTTCGGTGGGCGGCAAAGAGAGGCACGTTGGCCGGCATGGGGCTCTCGGTTTGTCTTCCCCCCTCCCCGCTTGTGTCGTCAGAACGGCAGCACACTGTGAAGCACAGGCAGGTCGCCGGGACTTAGCCCTGGGACACGCGGCGGAAAATGTCGTTGATGATGACAACCGAGCCGCCCTGCTGAGCGAGCTGGAAGGTCTCCGAGAAAAGGTGAGGCTTGTCGACCTCGCCGTCGATCTGCCGTGGGCATGCGGGACAGCAGTGAGTGGGAGAGAAGGGGGGGGGAGAAAATGACAACCGGGAGGGGGAGGAGCACGCACGGCGAACTGGCCGGTGACGAAGATAATGTGGGTACCCTCGACGGGGCCGGGCTGGGCGTCGACGGTGAAGATCTTGTGAATGATTTGAGAGAAGCCCATGCTCTGTGTGTGTGTGTATGCCGGCACGGGATGGAGGGAGGGACATGGGAGGGGTGAGGATAATTGTCAGCTGCCATACAAAACATGGGCGGCCACCAGGATGGGACGGATGGGAGGCGTACGCGGAAGCGGTTCATGATGTCGACCGGGCCGATGACGCAGTTGCCCTCGAAAGAGAAGAAGGCATTGTCGGCCTGGGGGAGAGGTGTGGGTTAGAGGCGGTCGCGAACCAAAGGGGCAGGATGCGCGCGTGCGGCCGCGCCAATGGGAGAGGCACACGCACATAGAGGCTGCCCAGGTTCTCGATGTTGTGGTCAAAAGTGGAGTAATAGTGCTGAGCAAAGGCGGCGCCGAGCTGGCTCGAGTGGGTCTGACGGTCCATGGTTCCTGGGTGGGTGGCGAGATGCAGTGCTATGTGCAGAGAGAAAGAGAGAGAGGCGGGCGGGGACAGGTCAGCGCACTTGCGCGGAGGGGATGGAGTGGGATGGGTGGGATGGGTGGGATGGGAGGAGGGGGCAGACACAAAGGAGCGTGGCAAAGAATGGGGGGGGGGGGGGGAGGAAGTACAGAAACAATCGACGAGGTTTGGTCACTGGAGGGAGAGGGAGGGTACCCCCCTCTCTGGCCCGATGGATGGTCGGTACAGGTGCTCTTCATCGTCTGCCTGGGAGAGACCTACCCTCCCCTGGGCCTCGCTTGGGCGGCCCCCCTGAGGAGGCGGCCCGATCTCGCGCGTCGCTCGGGTGTGTCCGGGGGGGGGGGGGGGGGGGGGCGACAAGAAGGCGTGTCTTGTTGGCCCACCGGCGGCGGCCCTTCAGGCAGGTTGCCGCGGGCGGTGTTGTCTTGCGCGGCGGCCCCTTGTTCGGCCGCCGCCGCGGGGAGGGGGGCGGACATGGGAGGTGCACACTTTGTCGAAAAAAAAGCAAAAGAAAAAAGAGGCCCGTAGCAGGGGCCAAGGGGGGGGGGGCGTTTGGTGGGGACATCCCCGGGAACACGTTATGTCCACGTGCTCGACGAAGACCAATATGGAATACCATTCCCGACACTGCGTTGGATGCTGCCACCCGCCTCGCCGTTGTGTGTCCGGTGTTTTATTCCTCTCCGGCGCGGGCGCGGGCGCGTGCGCGCGGGTGCTCTTTGTCCATCTTCTCGCCAGTTCCGTGAGCCCTGTTTGTCTCGCCCCTGCTGCTTGGGGGGGGGGGGGGGGGGGGCATACAGCGGCGGCGGGAGTTAGGTGTCCGTGGCCCTTCGAGTCTGTTCTCGGGCCCGAGGGTGCTGCCGTGGACAGAGGGGAAGGGGGCGAGAAACACATGGGCGTTTGTTGCCTGTTCACCCGGGGCCGGGGCCGGGCGGGAGGGCATGGGGGCGCGCATGCCGTGAAGTGGGCGCGAGGCGGGTCCCCGCCTCTGGTACGTTCGATTGCATGTCCACATGCGCGTTCCTCTTCTCTAATCCGGGCTGGATGTGACGAGAGGGCGAGGCGCGACCCCCCCCCCC